TGACCAGGTCTAAGGAATAACGCCTCAGTTACAGAGAAGCCCCAGGCTCTCAGGCCCTCAACAGCCCATTCCCATTATAGTTGCAGAAACTTTCCCTCCAAGATCAGAATGTTCCAACTCTCCCTGCCTTGTTGAAGGATGGGTTGAGTTCTGCAGGCTGTGGGAACCTCGCCTTCGGGCCTCCAAAGGGGTGGGGAGTGGAGAAAAAGGGAAAAGCAGGCCTGGGAGGCAGTCTGCTCGCTGCTGTTATCAGTCCTGAACTAGGCAAGACCCTTGCCTTTCTGTAGAGAAGCCAAACCACTGGCAGGAGACCAAAGGAAACCAAGCCACTGGGCAGAAGAGACCTCCTCAAAGGGCGCAGACCTTTGGCTGACACAATGGGCAGAACGTAGCCCTCGTGGCCCCGAATTCAGGGCAGCCATACCAGTGCCCGCACCTCCTCTTCCGCACAGCACTGCTCACTCTCAGGGGCTCTGAAGAACCAACAACGAATCCTGTTTCTGTTTCTTCAGATTCTAGGACTCCAGCACCATAACTTACTACTGTCTGGACTAGCGGCACCATAAACAGGTTTAAAGACCAGCAGAGGAACACAAGCAAATTCAGAAACAGGTGGCAGGCAGAGTCTCTGAGGCACAACGTCTGTGAAATCCAGTCCCTGCAACTTGCCACCCCTCCCCCACAACCACTAGTGCCTGTCTTTCATTTCCTGCAAAGCTGACAGTTAGGGCCCCAGCGCCGCATGGGGCTGAGGCAGCCCAAGTGTGGTTATTTGCACACAGCTCCCGTCTCCCCTCCCCACAACTGTTTCCATTCTCACCAAGCAGCCACGTCCGGGTCAGACGTGAAGGACTGCAGCTGGGGATTTCCAAGGGACTTTTTGAGAAAGCCAGTGAAAGTTGGGTGTTAGCGGCATGGCCTAGGCACTCTTATAAGCCCCACGAATTCCCTCTGTCAGCTATTGGCCTGTGGGTATGCTTCCAAGGCTTTCGGACTGAATTGAGCAGAAACTACTTCCCCTGGAGTGCTTTCGGTCTACTGGGCGGGGGAAATCCTTAAAAATCTATTCCTAGGGGCTGGAGCAATAGCACAGCGGGTAGGGCGTTTGCCTTGCACGCGGCCGACCCAGGTCGGCCCATATCCCAGCATCCCATATGATCCCCCGAGCATCGCCAGGAGTGATTACTGAGTGCAAAGCCAGGAGTAACCCCTGAGCATCGCCGGGTGTGACCCCCCCCCAAAAAAAATCTATTCCTAGCCATGGAGTAAAATTCCTGGTACTAATCTCAGCTATTCTTGGGTATTAGTCTCCTATTTTGTTACTTTGTGTTCCCCAGATGAATGCAATCTTCCTATGTCTATCCCTTTCTTTCTGAGTCATTTCGCTTAACATGATACTTTCCATGTAGTACCACTTGGATGGTGGGAAATGGGCACTGGCGGAAGGATGGGTATTTGATCAATGCATAATTGAAACCCAAGCACAAAAATTTGTAAGTCTACAACTGTACCTCATGATGTCTCACTAATAAAAATAAATAAATAAATAAATAAATAACTATTCCTAGGCCAGAGATGGAGCTTGGTGTACAGCACTTGCCTTGCATGTGTGAGGTCTAGAGTTCCAAGTTCTTATCACCACAAAAGAAAAACTGTGGTGGATGGCAAGGAACACAGAGCTCCACACATGTGATGTGTTCTATCAAGGAATCATGTTCCTTAAAAAACTCAGCTTGGATTTGGGGCTAACTGTAAAGCCATTCCTTCAGAGGCTGAAGACATCACACATCAGAAAAAGTCCTCTTTTGGGGACCTGGGTACCCTGGGCCAGTTTGAGCACTCTTCCCATGAGCCTTTTAGAGGACAAGGCAGGCCAGAAGAGTTAGCATCTGTCCCTCCTTCCCACACATCCCCAGGCCACAGGTAACAAAAGAAACTGACTCACTAGCAACACCAGGTGGCTAAAAGACAAAAGGAGTTTGGACACCTCTAGTGAGTCAGTCCACCCTGCTCTCACAAGTCTGGCACCTCCCTCTGGATTTGACGAACTGTGCTCATAGTGCATATACTGAAGAGTGGTTCAAAAGAGGAGGCAAGTGCATTGTACCTTTCATAAATGTTTTATGATACTGTCAGTGTTTTCATTTCAAAATCTGGGGCTGGAGAGATAGCATAGCAGGTAGGGCGTTTGCCTTGCACGCAGATGACCCAGGTACGATTCCCAGTATCCCATATGGTCCTCTGAGCACCACCAGGAGTGATTTCTGAGTGCAGAGCCAGGAGTAACCCCTGTGCATCGCTGGGTGTGACCCAAAAAGCAAAAAATAAATAAATAAACAAAATCAGGATCCTGAGGCTGAAATAGGCAGGCTGTACCCATTCGTTTTCCGATGGTAAAGGCACGGAACACTAACATGGGGATAGTAACCAGGACTTTAGGTGGAAATTTTAGCAAATGAGAATAACTGATAAATTTAAATTTCTCAAACAAGTAACTTTGATGTGGTTATCACTCAAGATCCCCTTCGAGGTTGGAGGAGAAAGGGGCAAGCCCAGGTCCTATGGAAGCACCCGAGAAACTTTCAGCAGAGGGTCTCCAGTCAGGGAGATGCAGGCAAGGGAGGGAACAGGAGACCATGTGTGCCACAGGTGGCCTAAATAGTAAAGACAAGTAGGAGAAACGTTACTAAGTCTTGCGATGTCTTAAAGGACAACAGCTACGCCAGTGTGAGGCTAAGAGGTGTAGGCCCTAAAGATCAGCTCTAGCAGGCCAAGGGGCTGCCGAGACTCAGGCCAGGCGACCTCCCAAAAGCCCCAAACAAGTACACTAGATAGGCCTCCACCACAGAGCTAAGAGCTGGATGGTGCAGAGCAGGAACCCCTCTGATGCTATGGGGAGATGCTCACAGGACCAGTGTTTAATGTGTCTAAGGAAGAGAAAAGAGGAGGGAGGCTGTAGGGTAACACTGTTTTGTCCTTCCTGCATAGCCTCAGATAGTTTAGGTTTATTGGGTTGCTCCCATCACAGTGCTTCTATTGCTCTGTGTTTATTTGTAACTTTCTTTGTGCTCTGTTGACTTTTGTTTTTTCTCTTCTCCCTAAGTCCTTTGCATAGTTTATTCAGAGCAATGTCCTTTTTGTATGGAAACAAGAAGATATGCTTTTGTAATGTGACTCTCAGTGATATTTCCCTCCTGGGCATCTGTTTTCTCACCTAAGCCTCAGTTCCCTTTACTTCCTAGTGGCCCTATAAGCAGGCTCCCGAGGAGGGACTGGATGGAACCAGGGCAAGCAGTAAGCTATGTGCTACCCTGGCATCGAGATGGGCCTGGCCAAAGCACCATGATGCTTAACTACAAGTTAAGAGCTTGGTCATGGACAAATGGTGTCATGATCCAAAAAGTAATAACTAGATTTGGACCCTGCTAGGGTTAGGAATGAGTGCTGTTGTCTGAGTCTGTGGCAAGATGCTCCCAGGAGAGCTGCCCTACAAGCCTCAATGTTATCTCTTACTGTGTCTATACAAAAATAACTAGTATTGAGATGTTGATAGTTATTGGACTGAGGAAAAGAGAAAAACACCTTAAGGGGTATTTTGCCCTTGGGAAGTCAGGAAGGGCTCTGGAATACCTCTCAGGTGGTGTTCCCTTTGAACCTGGTGGGCTCTCAGAAAGGGCTTTCTTTTTTTCTTTTTCTCTTCAATTTTTTTTTTTATAATTTATTTATTTATTGAATCACTGTGGGAAAAGTTACAGAGCTTTCGGGTTTAGGTCTCAGTCATGTAGATACCAAACACATTTCCCTTTACCAATACTCATTTTTAACCCCGAACCCCAATAGACCCCCACCTCCCACCCCTCCCAATTCTTGTGAGGCAGATGAGTTCTAGTTAATACTCTATCTACTTTGACTAGATAGATTATTTCGATAGAAGATGCACAATTATTGTTTAGAGTTTACGACCCACCCCCCACAATCAGACATGCTGAAACAGCGTTGTGAAATGATTTGCTTTCTACAACTTGGTTTAAGAATAAAATGATGGTTTTGAATTTCTGCTATTTTACTTATTGACCCTGGAAGAATTTCTATTAAAAGTTAGCTAGTTAAGAGATTGGTTTCTGTGCCCTGGAGTCGTGGCCGTGCCGGAGAGCCGCTCGTGGGGGGCAGCTGGCGACCTCGGTGGGGTGTGGGGGACGGCCCACAAAGCCCCCCTTCCCATGAGGTCCCTGCCGCTCCCGCCAGCCCCGGCTCAAACCTGCTTTCCACAAGGCTCCCGTGCGGCCACCATCTTTCTTTCCAGAGAGGAGCGGGCGGGCCGGTCAACGCCCTTTCCCCTCCGGGCTGGCTTGGTGGCGCGGTTTAACACAAGTCCATTTGCTTTTCTGCTCCAAGCGGCTGGTTCTCTGTGCTAAGTCCTTGTGCCTCCGGGGCCGTGGCCGTGCCGGAGAGCCGCTCGTGGGGGGCAGCTGGCGACCTCGGTGGGGCGTGGGGGACGGCCCACAAAGCCCCCCAGAAAGGGCTTTCTTAAGTTGATTTTGCTACCTGACTGGGTGCAGTGTCAGCCCAGAGTGCTGAGGGTTGGAGAGAAAAGAGAGCTGGAGAGAAGAGCAGGTTGGCAGACCGCGGAGAGGCTAGCAAGGGGGACAGAGAGAGAAGAATGTAGAAGAAGAATACAGGAGCAGGCACGTGGAGAGCCCAAGCTGTGAGATGGAGCGTGAGTGATGAGTGGGAGAGACAGGAGGAGACGGGAATGAGGAGTAGTGTGAGACCAGAATAGGAGGCTGAAAGAGACTGGGGGAGGCGCATGGCGAGAATGGAATAAATGGCAACTGATCAATCAACTGGCTTGGTCCTCATCTCCTCCACCATCTGCCCTGCGGCCTGGGCCACCGTGGCTGCGGGAGCAGCTCGGGCCCACCCTGAACATGGGTGGCGAGGAGGAGAGCCGTCGGGATTCCCCTGGCCACCCTCAAAGAATTTTTACAGGAGGCAACACATCTGTTTTAAGAACTTTCCAGAGGTTCATATTTATTGACATTTGACCCATGATCCTGCCCAAAGGCAGCTCTGGGAATGGGTAGGAAAACCAGCATCCTATGCAAGAACTGGACTGAATCCAAACTCCGCAGGAACTCAATTCAAACTCTGAACTCAATTCAAGCTCCAACCTGGACCCAAACCCCACCCACCCCAACAGCAGTTCAGAGGTGGTAAAATGGCCCAGGGCCACACCAGCCTGGAGGGCATATCATGCCACTCTCTAGACAGTTTGCAGAGCTTCAGAACTGGAAAGTGTGGAGAATCTGCAGTTCTGCCCATTTAGTTCCACAACAGAAAATAAGAGGCAAGAAAGTTGGGGCAAGAAGGACGGTGACCACGACTCCACTAGGTCTTTATAGCCGTGTCTCTGGATTTGTAGGCGACTCCTCGACTCTTCAGCTCCCGCACGATTCCTGCAGCAGGAAAAGAAACAGCTCTGTAAGGAAAGCCTCTGAAGGATAATAACGGGCCCTCAGCCTCCACTTTCAGGGGCTAGGGACCTATCAAATGGCAGTTTCTATACTGCTCTGCAGATTTCATTAGTTTATACTTGAGAATTCAGGTAAGTACTCAAAAATGATTTAATGACATAAATTATAATCAAAGCAAGTATTTCAAAGGCAGAGTGTAGGGAACACTTTATAGCTCTCCATTACTAGCTGGGTAACTTTTTTTTTCTTTTTAATTTTTTTTTTAGCTAGGTAACTTTCAGTAATTTATTTAACTTCTCTGTGCCTCGTTTCCCCAGGCAGATTAGACTTAATTCACGTGAAGCGCTTCCACAGAGTTTACTATAAAAAATATTATTATTACCTTGGGGCAGGCGACCAGTGACTGATACAGCATAAACACCTGGCTTAAAGTTACCTGAGAGAAGAGAAGAGACTACAGTGAGAAAGAGTTAAGACTAAAGTTCAGGGACTCGAGAGATAGTACATGGAGTAAGGTGTTTGTGACCCCAGTTTGATCTCTGGCACAGCATATGGTCCTTTGCAGTGCCAGCAGTGATCCCTGAGCATCACTGGGAGTGGCCCTGAAAAGTAAACAAAAACAAAAAAACCCAAAACATCAAATGGAGATTTTTGTTAAAAATGAAAGAGATGCTATAATTCCACGGGGGCACTTCGTTGGGTGACAAGTATTAATGACAGAGGACAAGAGATTTTCCTTATCTTTCCTATAACTGATCTTTCTCACCCTCACACTGCCTTAAGATTCCTCCCACCAGATCCAAGGGACGATGTCTAGTGAGAATAAGGAGATATACTTACTGACTCGCTGCCACTTGGAGACCCAGCTGTCCTCTGGACTCATCATTGCAATGATTCTAAGATGGGATAAGAAACAGTCAGTCTAGGCCTCTCCTACCTGTAGGGATGCTGGCACTCCAGTGGTGGGTATGGTGCAGTGATACTGTATGCCTGAAACACTAATACTATCACTAATGCACAGGGTTAATGAATGAAAACTGAAGTTATCAGTGCACATGTCTGTGCAGGAAGTAAAGGTTCCATGAGAACATAATTTTTTTGTTCTGTTGGGGTTACACCTGGTGGTGCTCAGAAATCACTCCTGGAAGAGCTCAGGGGACCATATGGGACGCTGTGGATTGGACCCAGATCAGACAAATGCAAGGCAAAAGCTCTACCTGCTATGTCACCGACCTGAGAACATAATTTTTAACCATTTGTTCTTTCCTAAGGGAAAATTTTTAAGAAAGGAATGGTGTCAGTCTACTTAAAGAAACTTTAGGTAGAATTAGCCTTGAGCCCAAGATTAAGATGTAGTCACTTAAATTCCTCTTATTTCTCCATTGAACCATCTTGCTAAGAGAATACTTTTTTGTTTTGGGGCCATATCTGGCGGTGTTCAGGATTTACTCCTGACTTTTACTCAGGGATCACGCCTGGCAAGGCTTGGGGACGATATGTAGTGCCAGGGATTGAACCCCAGTCAGCTGTGTGCAAGGCATGTGCTTTACCTGCTGTACTACTGTTGTGGCCCAGAATACTTTTCTTAAAAAGCCTCTTAGAGATATCACAAGTTTTGTCAGCAATAAACTAACATTTACTACATCTAAGCTTCCCTTCATTTTCAAAAAGGATCTTCATGATTTCAACAAACATTTATTAAGTTTCTAACACCTGGGGCACGTGGCTTACTGAGTTCAATCCTGGTGTGCCAATATGGTCCCCTAAGCCCATGAGTGATTCCCTAGTGCAGAGCCAGAAGTAAGTCCTCACCACCACTGAGTATGCCCCCCCCACGTCCCCCCAAAAAAACCCAAAATAAATAAGAATCTACCACACTCCAGGTCCCTTGGCAGGCTGTGGTATTCAGAATAAACACTCCCCAAAAACTGAGTGCTGAAAGTAGTTAAAGGGATAACCTTTAGTACCTGTATTGCAAACCATAATGTCTAAAGGGAAGGAGGAGAGGTAGAGAAAAGGGGAGAGGGAAAAGGTTAGGGAGAAGGAGAGGAAGAGAGAGAAAAGTGCCTACCATAGAGCGATAGAGGTAGGCTGGGAAAGGGGGTGGCAGGAGGAAACTAGGGACACTGGTGGCAGGAAATGTACACTGATGAAAGAACAGGTGTTGGAAGATTGTATGACCATGGGGTAGTCACAACAGCCTCCTTGCATGGATAACACCAGGGGCTTCCTGAGCCACAGAACCACTTCCAGGTTTCTCCAGCAGCCAAAATAAAAGTGAACTTGGGTGCTGGAGCAATAGCAAAGCGGGTAGGGCATTTTTGCCTTGCATGCTGCCGACCAGAGTTCGATTCCCAGCATCCCATATGGTCCCCTGAGCACCACCAGGGTAATTCCTGATTACCACATTAGTAACCACAGGAGTAACCCCTGTGTATCGCCGAGTGTGACCCCCCCACCACCAAAAAAAAAAAAAAAAGGTGAACTTAAGCAACATACTTCACTTAACCCAATACAGGCAAAGCATTTCACTAGCTTTGGGCATATAACCAATCAAAAGACCAAACCAAACCAAACTTTTCTTTTCTCTTGTGCTAAGTCTTTGAAATCAGTGCCTGTACTTACAACTAAGCATATCTCAGTTTGCGGTTCAGCCATAAAGCAAGTGCTCAGAAGCCACCCTATGCTCAGTGACAACTGTACTGTGCAACAGAGACCAAATGTGCGTCTCAAACTGACTCTGAGACCAACTGGGCGCACGGTCTTATCTTTAAAGCCCACCCCTTTACTTGGCCGGGTGGGGGGGAATGTCAACCAAAATCTAGAGAGGCTTACCCGTCAAAGGAAGAGCTGGTGCAGTCATACACCATCTCTCTGTTACCCTTCATCTGCAGGTATGCATCACAATTGTCACAGCCGTCGTATTCAAACTGGTCAATAGTCTGGAGAGCGAGGGAAGGGGTAGCGTAGAGGAACATTAGGGCCAAAGAAAGCGGTTTGCCCTCCACCGCTCCACCTCACCAAAGAGAAAGGTTCGATTATGCTCCGTCTGTCTCACCCAGCCACCCTACCCCACACGCCATCCCCGCGACCCCACTGTCAGTAAGTTCTGCCCTCCTCCGCATCTCCCGTTCCCAGCAGCATTTACCATACTCCTCTCTCTCGTCTCCTCGGTGAGAGAGCGGCCTCTCCCACGACTCCCTCAACAGCATCCCCTCTGCCTCCCGGGACCCCCTGGCTCCAGGCTCTGGGAAGCGTCAGACGCAAGCCCGGCCCGCGTGCCTGGAGACGCGAACCGCGGCGGACGCGCCAGCTTCTCCCCCGGGCCCTGCACGGCCCCTCGCCGCCTCCCAGCCACGTTCCACCACCCTCTTTTCCTCCATCGGAGCCCTGACGGATACCTTAACCAGCGAACACAGCAGACAAGCGCGCAGATGCCGCAGATCCTTTGGCACCGTCTCCAGGGCCATCGCCCCCGGCACACAAGACTTGGCACCGCCGGAAGTAAACAGTGGAGTACCCACAATCCCAACACTTCCGGCGCCGCGCCTTCCGCTTCCGGCGCCGGCGCCCGCACGCCCCGCCCCGCCCCCCCCCGCTCCTGGAGATGGTTTCTCCCGCCTGGAGGCGGGGCTCCCGGCGGCGCGTCACCTGGGCGGGCGGGAGGGGCGGCGGCGGCCGTTGGCCTGGGGGTGGGGCATAGGGGCGGGGCCGGGGCGGGGCCTGGGCGGGCCCGGGCCCGGCGGCGCGCGCCGTTTGATGTTGGCTGGCAGCTGCCCGCGCCGCCCCCCGGAGCGCTGGCATGGGGCGGGGCTTAATGCTGCGAAATGCTTTGGGACGGCTTCTCTTTCCAGGGCTCGTGGAGGCTTTGCGTGGCTTCTCGCATTTAGGCACACGGCCTTTATTTCACAACAGCTGGAGGGGATTAATTTTTTTCCCCCCCCCATTTCGCCCTATAGCCCTATAGCAAAGCTTGCTCTCTGGTTTCAAGCTGGCATCAGACAACCTCCACCCTTACCAAACCACTCCCTGGGAAGCTAAAAAAAGGAGGAATGTGCTTTGTGAGGGGAGAGTGGCCCCCGGTGGCCGTGCCGCCATTTGTACTTCCTGAGTGGGAGTTTGGGGATGGACTTTTCAGGGCCTGCAGTGCAATCATCCCAGGCCAGTCTCCCTTCTGAAATTTCACAGTGTCTCCCCTTTCCCAGGGTATGTTTACATGAACCGTGCTTTAATATTGACTACTTCCCACTGTACAACGTGCTTTGGGAACCCACTGAGTTCTGGAGTAGGCCCATTTCAGGGGTGGAGAAACAGAGAAGTGTTCACCCAAGGTCACAATGAGAGCATTAAAGCATCTTCAGTGGGAGTCCCGCACAGATACCGCCATGGGAATTCCTTCATTGCGCTCCCTTCCTCTTACTAAAACAGGTCTTTAAGTGCTGAGAGACCAGACCCCCACTCTCGTTTCATAAATCAGAACCTAGCCTCTGAGCTCAAATTATTTCTGTTCACTGTATGATTGAAACCCAATCGTGAATTGAAACCCTTTGTAACTATTAGTCTCACGGTGATTCTGTCACTGTCACTGTCCTCCTGTTGTTCATTGATTTGCTCAAGTGGACCCAGTAACATTCTGAGACTTGTTGTTACTGTGTTTGGCATATCTAATACGTTACAGGTAGTTTGCCAGGCTTTGGAGCCATAGCATAGCGGGTAGGGCATTTGCTTTGCATGCGGCAGACCAGGCCAACCCGAGTTTGATTCCTCCGCCCCTCTTGGAGAGCCCGGCAAGCTACCGAGAGTATCTTGCCCGTGTGGCAAAGCCTGGCAAGCTACCGGTGACGTATTCGATATGCCAAACACAGTAACAACAAAGTCTCACGATGGAGACGTTACTGGACCTGCTTGAGAAAAATTCAAAAAGCAACAACAAAACGATTGCTGTTCACAAAGAAGATGAAGTTCTTATTCCTTCTGAGTGATAATCATGACACAACAAAAACCACAAGACCAGACTGAATTCAAGGATAAATATATTAGCAAATAAATACATTATTCAACATAGTGCCTGATTCAAGCATCTTTCTGTCTGGTTCAGATATAAATACCCACATGTGGGTGCCTAGGTGCTAGTTCCCCACTGACTGAGGGCTGATTCTCAGGTAGGGTTCTATGTCCACTTTGCTCCCACACATCCACATTCCAAATGGGATAGTGCCTGAGGGGCCAACAATGGTCAGGCTGCCCTGGGGTTAATGTTACCCTAAGGAGGCCCCTTGGTCCTTGCCCACTTGGTACCAACTGCCCAGTCCAGACTTCCTCTGCATCTCCATCTGGTCTATTTATAATTTTTATTCAGGAGATCTCCCAGGGAGAGTTATTCCTCCATTACTCTCCCCACCCCAGCCCTCAAAAAATAGGACTCCTGAGGTGACAAAGGAGTTTGAAGAAAACAGATTTCAGGGACAATATCCTGTACCCTGGCTTTCTACAGTCTCTCCTCTGACAATAGAATAGTCTGAGAACTAAGGACCGGAAGGGAAAAACATCCCCCCTTATGCACCAGGCAGGCACTGCTTGGAAAAGCTGCAGAGGCCCCCTTTGTTAAGGCTCAGGGATCAGGGCTCACCTATGCTCTGGATCCTTTTGCAATGAAGGAAAATGATTCAGCAGCCTTGCAGGGGAGGGGCTAACATCAGTATACACCCGAAGAAGGAGGTGAGAAAGGGTCACTCAGCTGGACCCTTTGCTGCTGTGACCCTCGGCCTGGGACTGGGGGAAGGAGCAGCACCTTTGTAACACCTCTCCACCCATACCGAGCTTCCCGCTCTAAGAAAACAGCCTTCGTGGGAGCCAGCCCACATAGCGGGGTGCTGGCTGGGCACAGACTTGTCACCCTCAGAGCCCACCAACACTGTTCCTCTTTTGGTGGCTCCAGCAGTACAACAAAAAGAGGGGTGGGTCTTCTGAGGTCCTTCCTTCGCTCAGGAGCAGGATTCTATGACAGGTCGGGTCCCAAGTTGTCCAGAGCAGTCTTGGTTGGAGCTAAGCCTGGCCATTTCACACAGCCTGTTCGCACAGCTCCTCCAGCTCCTCCTCTGAGCCTGCATTTAGAAAGAGGGGAGGAAAGAGGTCACTGAACAAGCAAAGGCTACTTGCTGCTTCCAGGTGTCCAGAGGGGTAATTAGACTGAAAGCTGAGAGGGTCCCCAGGTGGGAAACAAGGGGGAACAAATCTAGAGAAAGAGAAACATAAATAGCAACCGGTGTGTTACCAATACTTATATTCATGCACTCAGTCCATGAATATTTATTGAGCACTCCTGAATGTTGCTGTTACCTAATGTGCCAAATAGAAGACCATGAAGAATCAGCAGAGGGGGCTGGGGAGAGAGTTCGAAGGGTGGATCATGTGCTTTGTATGGCAAGGCCCTGAGTTCCATTCCTGGCACTGCACTGCCTTCCACCCTGCACTGCCAGCATGGGCCTAGGGGGTTGGCAGCATTGCTGGGGAGGTCCGTAAAAAAATAAGCAGAAATCTGACAACCTTATAGAAAAGGAGTGTGTGCAAACAATTATAATGAAAGAAGTGGGAAAGATCACAGCCAAATAAAACAATCAGGAAGGGCTGATTCCTTTCATTTTTCTCCTGAAAGTGGAGGAAAAATGATCTGGTCATGCATAAAAGGGCGAGAATTAGGTTTATGGGACCAGGAAGGTATCATTCTGAGTGGCTCTATCTTCAAAAAGTTCTTACTCAGTTTGGCCAAATATGTGAAGAAAGAGGAAAGTAGAAAAGAAGATTGGGGAGACATATGTTAGATGAAGGCTCTCAGATGCTAGTGCTTTGAAGGCTAAACCGGGTTGGATTTTTCTTTATTGTAGGTAAAATAGAAATTTGAAGATTTCTGGCCAGTTTATTGGAGGAAAAAGACCCTGGCAGCAGCGTGGAAAACAGGTGAGCGGGGTAACTGCTTCATGATTCTGCAGGACATAAACTACTATAGTGACCAGCCTCCAAGGATCTAGGAGAGGGAAAGGTAGAGCTAGAAAGTTTTAGCTTTAAAAAAAAATCACTGGGTCAGATGACTTAGTGCTCTGGCATAGGAAAGATAATCTACTAGGACTTAGCAGCACTGGATGGGCAACCAGCAGAGCTCAGAGGAGAACTGGATGTGCATGCATTCCAGTCCTTGGAACCATTTCTATGGCTCCATGCCTCAGTCCTTGGGCAACACTTAATACATGGGCAAGGGAAATCAGTTCTGGGGAAGAATGTGATGAAAATTATCTGAGATACAGTTAGTAGAACCTGGCACTGATTGGACCTAAGAATCTGGGAAAGGAAAACATTAAAGCTACCTTTGTTAGAAAGAGAGAAGATCAGACTGTCAGTGGCAGCACTAAAAGTGTACAAGATCAGGTCCAAAGGGATCATCAAGCACATGATCCAAGCTAACATTCCATGACTCTACCAAAATTAGTTTGTACACTGGGCCGGAGAGATAGTCCAATCCCCAACACAGTATAGTCTTCGGAGCGTTGCCAGGTGTGACCCTGGTGGTCCTCAACACCATAAAGCCTGAGCACCACCATAGCCTCAGGCTTTCCCATTCAGCCTTCCACCCAGTTGGTTGAGAATTGCTCAACCCTCCTGGAGCCACTTGGGAGACCTTCCCCCAACTATGTGTTATAACTGTTTGCACGCCTATATCCAACAGACTGATTTCCCAAGTTGACAAGTCCCATAGCCTCAGAACCTGGCCTGGAACCTAGCATAGGGTGAACAAGCAAATAACACACAAAGGAAAAAGGAGGGAAGAAATGAGCAAATGAATAAATGACAGGAGCATGCTAGTTGTGCCAATAGGATTCTAAGACATAAGACCCGTGGGGCTACCAAGAAACCATGACCTCCGTCTATCACCTACATAGCTTTCCTATATGGATGAGAATTGTGGTTGTCAGTAATTATTCCACTACACTCTCCTCAAGGACAAGAAACACTTCTTGACCTTCTTTGTAATGTAATGCCAATAGGGAACTGGATACCTTGATATACCTGAACCAATCATCAGGTTTTTTTAGGGGGTGGGGGTATCTTGGACCACACCACCCAGCACTACTGGGTTGGTGGGGTCTAATTTTGGCCCAGTGCTGAGGTCACTCTCTGTGATGCTTGGGGTGGGAGGGGACATGTGGCGCCAGGGACTGAATCTGGGGCTCCAGCATGCAAAGCATGTGCTTCAGCTCTTTGCACCATCTCCCTGTCCTCAACCATTAAAACACTGGAACACACTCATGTGAGCTGCTACTCCAAACCACTTGGGAGACCTTCCCCCAAATGCTTTCTGCTGTTTCAACCACATGAGGAAACCCCTCTGCCCAGACCACCCTATGACCTGGAATGGAGGGAGAAACCCCTGTAAGCAGACCACCGTAGTCACAATATGGGGCTCTGCTGACTGTTCCAGATTTGGAGTGTCAGCCCTGGGGGGGCCCGTCTCAGTTCCCAGCAACGCCTCTTGGCTGACTCCACCTATCTACAATAGTCACTTTTAGCCCCTGACTGCTCCCTCCCCCCCAAAAAATGTCTCACCAGGCTGGGCTGGCTGCACCGGGCAGTGTGGGTAAGGGCATGGTCCGCCCTCAGAAGCACCACAACTCCACTCAGAAGGCCCCTCCCCAGACTGGGGTGGCCCCAGATTCTGGCGTGGAGTCAGACACAGCCACACTGGATGTGAACTTGAGTAACAGGGGTCTGGGGGCTCAGGCAGCAGTCTCCTGTCCAGGCCCGGAGGTCTGAAGATCAGCGGGTGGGCCTCTGGGGACCAAGGGTATGCCAGGCCCCGGCCATAATGCGGGAAAATCTGGCAAGGCGCGTGTGCAGTCAAGTCTTGGGGGGAACGAGAGGAGAGGACAGGCTCTGTGGATGAAGAGGCCCCCCGGCGCTTCCGATGTGGGTGTCTGATGGGGGCGCTGGGTTTCTGCACGTGGAAGGGGCTGCCAGGATGGGGGTTGGCAGGGTTGGTGGGGGCGGGGGCGGGGGCGGGGACGGGCTCCGGGAGGGCCCTGGGCTGCAGTGGGCTGTGCAGATGCCCCAAAGCCAGTGGCTCTGACCGGGGCTGTGTCCGTGAAACAGCCGACCTGAGCTGGGGGGCCCCAGTTTCTGGGCCGGGCTTCCTGCCGTGCCACTGGAAGCGCTTTTTGTAGTGGTGGTGACGGTGGCGGTGGTAGTGGATGTGACTGGAAAGCGGGGCTTCCCCCATGGGCACCAGGGAGTCCAGGGAACGCGGCCGGGTGGTCACACAGGGCCGGGCCTCCTCCCTCGGGGTCTCCCCTGTGGGACTGCAGTACACCAAGGGGTCAAAGTCACTGCTGAGGGAGCTGCGGAAGGTGGAACTGCTGCCATGGACGCCCTGCAGGCTGATGTCCGTGCAGTTGACCACTGAGTCGCTGGAGGAGCCATGGCAGGGCCCAGAACTAGAGTCACTGGCGGGCCCATCTGCCAAGTAGCCGCTGCGCTCTGTGCAGTAGCTTTCTCCTGAGCCACTGCTGTCGTGAGGCCGGGTCCGGTGCGAGGGCACTGGGCAGGGGGCAGCGTGCCCAGAGGGACACCGGAGGCGGCGGCCCAGTCCCCAGTCCTGTGCGTAGGCATGTGGCACCACTGCCAGGCGCTGCTGCTCGCTGCTGGCGGCCCGCAAATGTGCCGCTCTGGAGGGCTGGTGGTGCCGAGGGGCTGCGCCTGGGTCCTGCGAGGGCGGGAAGGGCCTGGGTCTCGGGGGCCGCGGCGCTGCACTCCGGGAAGGGCCTAGCAAGTAGGCAGCAGGAAGGTGGTAGTGGGCATGGCCAGGATGTTGGCGAATGAGGTGGAGTCTCCGGCCTGGTTCCTGGTAAGAGCGGGGAGGACCCAGGGACTGGGAAAACGAATCTCCCTCTGGAAGAAAGGAAAAAGAGCACAAGTGTTGGGTTCTGAAGGCACACAGAGGGTGCTCCCAGGACAGCCAAGAGAGACTGTCTGGGTGGTTCTGGCTCCCTTGGGAGTCAGCTCCAGGTCAATCACTCCTCACCCCGTCAGCCATTATAGCTGATTCGGGGGGAGGAGGAGAGAGGGAAGGGAGAAGACAGAGACAGAGACAGAGAGACAGAGGCAGAGAGACACAGAGAGAGACAGAGACAGACAGAGAGACACAGACACAGAGAGAGAGGGGGAGGGGGGGAAGAGAAGCTTTTTTCCCCTCAAGATGGCAAAGTCCTGGTTTTGTTAGAATACGATATAGCACCAGAAAATTGGGATTAAAAATACACAAAATACCCAGCTTTAGAATCAACAAAGGGGTCATAAAAATACAACTGATTTTGGAAATAATACAAGTGTCTCCTGGGGAAGGAGAGATAGTACAGTGGCAGGGTGTTTGCCTTACACATATCTGATCTAGGTTTCATCCCATAAGGTCCCCCAAGGCTGTCAGGACTAAGCCCTGAGCTTAGCCATTTATGACCCCCAAACCAAAACAATAATAATAATATGATGATGATGGTGCCCTTAACTAGTCTTCTTCCTCAGAGGAGTTCCTTGAGCATGCACAGCTGAAAAAAACTAGTGAGACAATTCTGTTCTCTCCTCAGCTTCAAGGAAAAATCCTTTATGACAGGAAAACCACATGCTCCCCTCTCCCTGCACAGGGGAACCCCTGGCCCACCTCCTACCTACGATGTTGAACATGCAGAGGGGGCAAGTCCGTTGTTGCTGCAGCCAGGGGTCCACACAGGCCCGATGAAACTCATGGAGGCAGGAAATGACCCGGAGCTCCTGGAGAGAACAAGGGTAACAGCAGCTACAGGACAGGCCAAGAACCAGGCCACCCCGCTCTCTCTGGCCTCTTCATTTTGCTATCCAGAAGGAATGTGCCAAAGTTCTTCAGGTATCTCTATCTGAAAAAAGGTATGGGCCCTGGTATCGGGTGGTCATGAGTTTTGCCACTTGGCTCCATAATCTTGGGCAAACCTCTTTACAGTTTTCTGCTATAAAATGAAGATAAAAATCTAACCTCCCACTCCTTACTGGCATCAAGCTAAAAATCAGATAACGCCTCTAAAATACCAACTGAAGAGCCCAGCACACAAACCCGCAAACAGCAGTTCTCCTTCCCTGGAAGAGCAGATAAGCAACCTCAGGGCTGGCCCACCCCTGCTCATGCGGGTTCCACTGTGCCGAGAGGCGGTCAGGGCAACCACGCCAACCTCCCTCTCCCACGCCGCCCTCTGGCCTTCCTTCCAGCCCGCCCATGGTACCCTGCCTTACCTGGCCCTCGGAGAACTCCTCCAGACAGATGGCACACATTGGGGCGGAGCTGCAGCTGCTGCCTGAGTCTGGCCACTCGGCCCGGGCCCTCCTGCAGCTGGCCTGGTACCTCCTGGTGGCCAGCTGGCTAATGGCCCAGGCTGTTTGCTGCTGAAGGGGATCCTGGGAAGAGAGGTAGGGCTCGAATGAAGAAGGGCTCCTCTTCCTCGTTCTTGGACTCCAGTCCCCTTCCCTGTCACCTGGCCAACTTCAGGATTGCCCTGAAGTTTTGTCTCCCAGGGCTCACTCTTGCTCTGCTCAGCACGCCAAGGGCTGTGCTGCTTCCAACTCTCACCAGGAAGCTTTTCTTCTCTTGATAACCCATAAGAGAATTTGATGTCATCTTTTGGTTTGGAGAACATGCCAGGAGGTTCTTGGGGTCTACCTCCAGCTTGGTGCTTGGAGGTTACACCCGGCAGTGCTTGGGGGACCCTGGACTGCTGGGGATCCAAACCTGAGGCTCTTGCAGGTAAAACATATACTCCAGCCCTGTGCACCATCTCCCGGGCCCAGAGAGGAACTTTTTCAAGTCCAACTGTCTGCTTAATAAGCACAGCAAATTTAATGTGCCCCAAACTGAACTCTTAATCCCATTAACCACTCCCGACCACACACGCCTCTTTGCTCGAGTCTTTCCTGTCTCCCCATCTCCATAAAGGGAAATTCCACTCCTTTCCCTTTTTGCAGTGCTAGGACTCGAGTCCATGGCCTCATACATGTGAAGTATGGGCTCCACCACAGCTCTGGCCTAGGTCTATTCTATTCTGTCAATTACTTAGTTGGAAAACCTTGGAGCAATAATTAACTCATCTCTCTTTTGCTCCATAATCACCATTAATTAACCATTAGTTAACTAATGGCTTCAAAATGGCAGGAATCTAATGAGTTCTCCCCACTTTCGCTGCTGCCTGCCTAATCCACACTGCCATCACTGTCACTGGATTTATTCCTGTTCTAGCCTCTGAGCTGGGTTCTCTGTTCCCAGCCTTATAATCTGGTGTCACAGCAGAAGCAAGAGTGTTCATGTTAAAACATAACTCATGGGGCTGGAGTAATAGTACAACAGGTATTTGCCTTGGTATTTGGGCATTTGCCTTCCACACAGCTGACCTGGGTTCAATCCCGGGCATCCTATATGGTCCCCCGAGCACCACCAGGAGTAATTCCTGAGTGTAGAGTCAGGAATAACCCTTAAGCATTGTCAGGTGTGACCCCAAAATCAAAACAAAACAAAAACACCACCATAAATCACACTGGGGACCAGAGCAATGATACAGCAGGTAAGGCATTTGCCTTGCATGCAGACAACCTGGGTTCCATACCTGGTATCCCATTTGGTCCCCTGAGTACTGCCAGGAGTGATTCCTGAATACAGAGCCAGAGTAACCTTTGAGCATTGCTGTGTGTAGGCCCCCCTTAAAGAAAAAAAACCCACAACACCAGACAGTCATAACTCCCACTGTCATAGCATGATGGCTTAAAACCCTCAAGCACTGCTGTTTCACCCAAAGTAAAGCCCACACTGGCTGAGCCTGGCCCGTGGACTCTGGCCCTATCACCTAGCACTTGGGTTCACTGTGTTCCACTGCACTGCCTTCTAGCTGTTCCTTGGACCAATGAGGCACACTTGTGCCACAAGCTCTTTCTCCTTCCTTTTCTCTCCACCGTGGCCACTTTCTCCCCCAAATGTATGTATACATACCTACTCATTAGTGGGTCATTCCTGTAATGTCATCTCAGTGAGATGGGCCCTGGCCTTGTGTTTAAAAAGCTAACTCTGCGCCACAGAGATAGCAGGTTGGGTGCTTGCCCTGCACACGGCTGACCCAGGTTTAATCTCCAGCATCCCATGTCCTCCCCCAAGTCTGCTAGAGTGATTCCTGAGTGTGTAGCCAGAGCACTTCTGGGTTTGTCCCCACCCCACCACCCCACCCCACTCCCAATTAAAAAAATCTAACCCTTGAGGTTGGAGAGACAGTACAGCAGGTAGGACACTTGCCTTTCATGTGGTCAACCAGGGTTCAATCCTCAGCATCCCATGTGGTCCCCCAAGCACTGCCAGGAGTGATCCCTGAGCACTGCTGCTGTGGGCTCCCCCCATACCATAAATAAATAAAAGACGAACTCTGTCCTTCTTGCAGCCTCTCTCCTCTCTTCTACTTCATGCCTCTGCACATAATATCACCTGAATTTTATTTTTGGTCATTTCTCACTAGAATAAAAGCTCCTAATAAAAGGTCTACTCCAGGGCTGGAGTGATAGCACAGCGGGTAGGGCGTTTGCCTTGCACACAGCCAAGATGGCCGATACAGGTTCGATTCCCAGCATCCCATATGGTCCCCCGAGCACCGCCAGGAGTGATTCCTGAGTGCATGAGCCAGGAGTAACCCCTGAGCATCGCCGGGTGTGACCCAAAAAGAAAAAAAAAAAGAAAGAAAGGTCTACTCCTTCCTTTGCTCCTTAGTGCTCTAGTCAATAACTGAACAGTGCTGGGAACTAACAGTTCATTCTGCTGAATGAAAGAATGAGCAAGCAGCCTCCAGAATGAGGCCACTGGAAATCAGTCCAAGACTGGGTTGTTTGGGTGTAAATGATTTTCATGGACCTAAAGCGAAAGGCCCCGGCTCATATTTCTCTTACACACACACACACACACACACACACACACACACACACACACACACCACTCTTCTCACCGGTCTGCTCTGGCGGGGCCGGCACCGGATGCGCAGCACTGAAGCCAAGACGACCACGAAGATGGTGCCCACCACAGTCAGGAGGATCCATACATCATAATCGGGCTAGAGAATGCCAAAGGTAGACAGTTATTCCTGGGCCCATGTGGGAGAAGACACCACAGCTCAGGAGAAAAACTGGAGGCCCCCTTGAGTCCTCCAGGGCCAGCAAAGGAGGAGGGAGAAACCTGCAGGTGGGCCGAGGTGAGACCTCTGTGTCCATGTGTACTCAGAGGAAAGGGTGTCCAGATGTCTGCTGTGAGAGACACTCACGGAAATCCCCATGCCTAGGAGAAGGGAGAGGGGTCCCTTCTGCAAGGTGGCAACTACCTGGTGAGCAGAGCAGTGGAATGAGGGTCCAGCCACAGGTGGGAGGTGGGTGGAACGCTGCTGAAGGGTATGATGCTGGATAAGGGCGGGTTCGGAGGTCTTTCTGCTTCAGGAGCCAGTTGTCACAGGGCAAAACCGGGACTAACAGGTGCCGGAGCAGGGCAGAGAACTCTGTGCTTACCCATGTCGGGGGCTCCTTCAGCTCAATCCTCACGTGGGCCTTTCGGTTCTTGTATACAAACTCCATCAGCTTCTCAGCGTCTTTCCCCCAGATCAGCACCACAGGCCAAGTCAGTCCTAGGGGCTGCTGCAGCTGCAAGAGGGCAAAGGCCCAGGGGTGGTTGTATCCTGACCCTCTCCCTCCCCCAGTGAGGGGACCACCGCCATCATATCCCTCCTCTGACACCCCAATATCTTCAAGTACCTGCTCAGCAGCAGCTCGGTCCTCAGTGATGTCAAAGAGGACAGCGCTGGCGCCTCGCTCCCCTGCCATCCGGGCCTGAAGAGACACAGCAGAGGGGGGTTGGGGGCACTGGAGGGCAGAGCCACACACTGGGCCTTGCCCCTTCCTAGATTTCCCTGTGCTGCACCCAGGCGCACACAATGCAGGACTGAGAGGGATGCAGAGCTCAGCCAGGCCCCTCTACCTTCAAAGAACCATGTTTACTCCTTTGTAACAGAAGGAACCATAAGAGAGGGCTTATTCCAAGTGTCCAAGAACAGATGGCTGGATCAAGAAACTATGGCACAGTCACACAATGCAAGACAAAAACAGCTTTATGTGAAAAGATAAAATCATGCAATTTGCCGTGACATGGATGGATCTGGAGAGCGTCACATGAGAGAGGCTAGAGGAAGAGGGGCCGACACAGGTGATCACTCTATGTAGGATATAAGGGAAATAACAAAATGCCCACGAGCAACAGAACTAATCTTCATTAGGAAAGCCTGGGGGGAGGATATGGGGAGAGGGAATAGGAGGTGGTGGGGGGACACTGGGACAGTGGTGGATGGAAGAGGACACTCTGGTAAAGAGTGTGGCACTGAGGGCTGGAGCAATAGCACAGTGGGTAGGGCATTTGCCTTGCACACGGCCAACCCGGGTTCGATTCCCAGCATCCCATATGGTCCCCTGAGCACCACCAGGGGTAATTCCTGAGTGCAGAGCCAGGAGTAACTCCTGTGCATTGCCAGGTATGACCCCCCCCAAAAAAAAAGAGTGTGGTGCTGAGATGTTTATGCACAAAAACCCTACCATTAACAGTACTGTAAACCAGCTGCCTGGAGCAAATTACTGAAAAAAAAAAGGGGGATGGAGGGGGCTACTAGATACAGTGTGGATGGACTAGGCTCTAAGACTAAGGAAAAATTACACCAAGTTCCTTCCTTAGGTTCTCCCCCATTTGCCTTCACTACCACGTAAAGAGAACAGAGGGCTGTTCGTATGCTGTGTGCCCCGAGCCTGGGTTCAATCCCTGGCACCACATGGTCGCCAAGCCCTGTTGGGAGTGGCTTCAAGCACTTCAGGGGGAACCCCCAACACAGAAGAGAACAGAGAACTGGAGTGACTGACAACCCCGTTCCCCCCACCCCCAATACAGAAACCCACACACCCAAGGAGCACAAGCAGAGTGACCAGTTTGCAGTACAGGAGGAAATGGGAGTTCCCGGGAGGTAGCTCTATGGTCATAAACCTAACTGGGACCCAGGTTCCTACCTCGGAACCACATGGCTGGTGGCCCTCAACACTGCGGTGCCTGAATAGCCTGGCATCCTCCAGCCCTAGACCTAAACCTGCCCGGTTGGCTCCCGGGACCCCTGACGTTTCTGGGGAGACCCCCTTTGCCCACACCCCTCACAACTAAGAAAAGAAGCAGAGCTGAGCTTCCTGGGCTCCAGTCCTGGCTAATGCCATGCTCAGGCAAGGTTCCAAGGGCTAGAGTCTTAGCTGTCACCCAGAGGCCCATGGCAGACCCCAAGCTCAGCCTGTCCTGTGGGGCTCACTCCCAGTTACACTCTAGTCTGTCAGCTCTCCACAGGCCAATTCAAGGGCTGAAGGGATCTTAAGGGTTCTGCCTAGGGATCTACCCCTCTTCCCTCCTGAGGGGTGCACTAGAGCCTGGACAGGAAGGCCAGGGGGCAGTTCCCACAGACCTGTGCACATATGCACAGAGTTCGCTAGCCTCAGCAGAGTCCGCCAGAGAACACAGCCCAGGAGTCTAGGTGTGCTGAGGGCCCGGTATGAGAACTGTGAGAACGAGAGCAAGAGTCTGACCTCCTGCCTTACAGTCAAGCTCCCAGCCCAGCAAGGCCAAGGGTCTCAGAGTCCAGGCAGCTGCCTGGGACCCATGCCTGGGCTGCTCAAGCTCCTGCAGGCGCTGAAGGAGTTAATCCTCTGCCCGCAGTGGGCAGGAAGAGGAGCCAGCTCTGGGCTTACTCACACTCCCAGCGCTTTGATCTCTGCTTCCCTTCCCGGGGAAAGCCTGTTGGGGCAGGTCTCCTGCCAGGCAGGCCGGGGGAGCGGCTCCTTGCACCCGCTCACTGCTCCCAACTCCCCAGGTGGCAGCAGGGGGCAAGGGGCCCCCTTGGAACCAATGCAGGCAGGGGAGCCTGGGGAGGGTGCCAGAGACTCTAGTGGGGCGTCTGTTTGGTCAGGAGGGTAACTTCCCTCCTCCCTCTCTCCTTAGGCAGTGGGCTGGGCCTTCCCTGCACCTAGGCCAGGCTAAGGCCCTCGCCTGGCTTCGGCTGGAAATTCCCAGGGCTCCTGAGTGGAAATGGTGATGAAAGGGAGAGGTCCCAGCCTGCTCACTCCCAGCAAGTCCAGGGTCACTGGGGGGCCCTGGGCAAAAGGCAGTCCTCCAGAGTGTTCCCTGTCTTCACTAAAGTGGTCTTCAGAGTTCCCCCAGGCGGGGTGGGGGGTGGGGGGGGGTGGGGGGTGGGGGGGGGTAGAGGGGGTGAAGTGCCATGGGGGAGAGGAGAGGCTGGAAAGGTGAGTGTGCTGACTCGGTATAGGTGCCAGGGAGAGGTCACAGAACTGGGACCCTCTGTAGCTCAGTTGCTGGGCCTCCTTGTGAGCTTGGACCCACCCAATCCAGCTTGGAGGAACATCAGGAGAGGCACAGACTTCCTTCTGGGAGATTTTCTGACTTCCCCACCCTTGTCTCTTTGAAGGATTGGGGTAGGAACAGTGGAAAGTAATTACCATGACGTTCAAACACCCCAGCCCATTACAGCCCATAATTAGAAAGTTGTAAAAGTGATCAAAGAGCCCGGAGAGTTGGCTAACAGGGAAACAAACAGGACTTTGAGGCAATTGGGTGTCTGTGTCCAGAGTTCTAGGAATCAAAATGCAAGATTTGGGGTCCAATGCAATCCTCAAGAACCATCCACCCTCCCTCCAGTCCAGCTATATCCCAGGAGCCAGAGAGAAAAAGCAGCCCTATTTGGAGAAAATGTCCAATAACATCCATCCAATTTCAGTCTGCACACAGACTGGTCCTTCCCTCATCAGCGATTCCTGCCTCTCTAAGGAGAGCCAAATGGAACGATCCAGTTGGAGTAGCCTGGCCTGGCAGACAGCATACTCAGGAGCTTTCTTGGGGTAGATGGGGAGTCAGAGCAGTGCCACGGATGAATAGCCAGGCACACGGTCACTCCTACCCATAACCCACGTGCCCCAAAGGAGAAAGTGATTTACAGAATCCAAACTGAGCATCCCAGTCAAATTCTGGAGGGAACCCCCCTGTGAGAAAGCAATGAGCTGAATGGCCTGACGGGGACTCAGCTCAAAGCTGGGGAAACAGCTAGGAGGATTGGAGTGTGGAGGAGGGCATGGAAGGCCTGGGAATCACTAGTGGATGCCCTGCACAGGTGCCAGATGTACCCGGCAAGACAGGACTTCTGATCCTGATGGATGATAAACATGTGACTATAACTGAGGCTGGGTTACTAGAACCTGGGGCTGGAGTGTGAGCAGGAGCTTAATTAGTACATTTCTTTGCTTCTTAATTCCAAGACGTTGGAAACAGAAGAGAAAGTGGAAGTCAGCTGCGGCATCATTGAGATACTGGGCAGGAGAGCTATGGCAGAGACTACCTGGGAGAAACAGGATTGGTCAGGCACCTATCCTTTGCCCTTTACCCTGGCCTTTCACTCTCTCCACTCTAATCCCCTCAGCAACCCCACCCCCAACATGAAGCACAACATGAAACTAAAATTCTTATTTTTAAGTTGCAAAAAGGAAAAGCCCTTCGGCAGAGTGGAATCAGGAAGGCAGAGTTTGGACTGGTGCTCAAACAGGAATGCCAGGCAGGGCTTTCTGAAGGTACTAGAGCCCTCTGTGGCAGCTTGTAGGGAGTCAGCCAGCCTCGCAGGGGCAGCAAGCAAGACTGCCCACAGCCTCCAGCAACCAGAGTCATTTTAGAGAGAGCAGTGAGTGAGCAGCAGAGTCCTGCCTCTGACGGCTGCTCTCTCTGCTCTGGACCTTCGAGTTTCCTCTCCAAACCACAGTGACAGTCTTTCTCTATCTCCTATTCATCAAAGATTGACAGAGCACCTACTGTGCTGGAGCACCAAGCCAAGCCATCCTGAATGGCTCATAAGGGGACTTCGGAGACAAGACATATGCAGACAATTATAATAATGCTGATAACAACATTCCTGAGTAAAAATGAATGAACTAGACCAGTAGTTTCCAAACTTTATTTAACCACAGAAAGTTCTTCCCTTCAGTCCCCCACAAACACACACACACACACACACACACACACACACACACACACACACCATCTGGTACAAATTTTTAATAACACAAAAGCAGACTGAGGTTGAGAGTGGGGTGAGAATAAGAAGTATCCTTAGCACCTCCATGAGACCTGGGATGGGAAACATGGGCAGAGACCCTAAAGGTGTGTCAGCTTACTGGCGAGCTTACTGGTCTGAGCTGGTCAAGAAAGACTCAGCAGAGAAGGTGGAGGTACATCAGGGCTTAGAGGAAGAGTAGGAGGAAGTAGGGCTAGAACCTTTATTGAGATCGATTCTGCCCAGACTGTCTCGGTTTATATTTGGAATCTGCTACCTACTATTAGCTGTGAGATTGTGGGCAAGCCACTAAGTGCTCTGTGCCTGAGTTTTCCTTTCTGTAAATGGATAGTATGTCTTACTTCATAAGGCTGCTCTGAGGACTATGAGTTTACCCATGGAAAGTCATGTACAAATGCCTGGCACAGAGGAAATGCTTCTTCCGTGTGAGTTATTACATCAGCTATTACTCTTTTCATGTTTTATTTACCACTCTGGAGCGGTTATCAGTCCCACCTCTGAGTTGAGAAATCAAGCCTCAGAGAAACTGAGTAATTTGTTCAGGGTCCCATGGCTGATAAGCAATGATAGGCGGGATCTCCACTCTAGCTTCCTGGTGACCAGGAAATGGTCTCCATGGTGAGAGGCAGGGCTTGGTACCTGGCTGCTCACGTCCTAGCCAGCTCCTTCTACCGGCCAGAAATCCACGGCCATTAGTTCAGGCATAAGGCAAAAAGGGCCTGGCCTGACACAAGATGGTTATAGAGTTATAGAGCTGCAAGTAAAGAAACAAATTTACTCGCTCTGATTAGAGGCAGCTTGGTGATGCTGGTGGCAGCAACAACGAAGGAAAAGGCCACTAGGAGTGATCCCTGAGTACAGAGCCAAGAAGAAGGCCTGAGCACCACCAGATGTGGCCCCGAATCCAAGAAAAAAAAATTAACAAAAAAATAAAAAGAAGGAGCTGGAGCAATAGCACAATGAGTAGGACATTTGCCTTGCACATGGCCGACCCGAGTTCAATTCCCAGCATCCCATATGGTCCCCTGAGCACCACCAGGAATAATTCCTGAGTACTGAGCCAGGAGTAATACCTGAGCATCTCTGGGTATGACCCCAAAAATCTAAATAAATAAATAAAACTTAAAAAATAAAAATAAAAAGAAGCCAGGCTGCTTCCATGAGGCTCTGTGGTACTTCTCCCTGAGCCCTTGGGAGGAACAGGAAATCCTCTGGGGCTGAGCAGCAAGCAGGAATGAGGTTAGGGTGGTCACACTCTCTTTCAACACCCAGGGAGTAGGGTCTCTCCCCCAAGTGCCCATTGTATCCCGCATCCCCCCCAACACACATACACACACGCGCACACACACATGCGCACGCACACACACACACACACACACACACACACATACACACATTATAACGACATTCTGGGTAATGTCACTAGGAGAAGCTCTTCACATGTATTTGGTTCCCCCACCAAGATGGGGAACACCAGAGCAGAGAGATTAAAAACCCAGGTTTGAGAACTGAACTGGCCTTGGTTCAAATCTCAGCCCCACCCCTTCCTAGCTGGGTCTCCCTGGCAAGTTACTTAAGTTTTCTGATCCTCACTTGATTCACATGTCAAACTGAGAACAATAAGGCTGGGCTTTCTCTGCTGTTGTGAAAAGCAAAGGGACAATGCAAGGAATCTGTCTCGTGTCCCACCGGGTTCATGGGGAGCACACTTGAGAACAGCCACTTATGGGCAAACAGGGTCGGGTTTGCACAGGCCCTGCGAGGAGGCAGCCTGGTGGGGGAGCCCGCAGCTGCTGTCAGCAATGCAGAGGTGGGGAAAGGGGTTCTCCATTTGTAATCTCAGAGGAAGAATGTGAAGTCGGGAAGGGGGAAGGGAATAATTACTCTTCTCTGAAGTAAAGATTGTAAGACAGCTTCTCTTCGGCTCAGTGCATGTTTCTGTGAGATGGACACCCCTCAACTTCACAGCTCTTTGCTCTGATGCTGTTGGGGGAAGCCTGGGAACTTCCAGGTGGAGGGGAAGGAGACGGAGTGGGATCTTTGCCCTACAAGACAGCCAGTGTTTACCCGGCTGCATTGGGAAGAGATAGCAGCCAGCCTTCCTACCTTTCTGGGATACACATGGAACCAGAGCACCTGACAGAGCCAAGTACCTCATGCCTCAAGAAAAGTGCACGAGGGGCTGGAATGAGCACAGCAGGTAGGGTATTTGTCTGGCTGACCCAGGTTCAATTCCCAACATCCCATATGGTCCCCTGAGCACCGCCAGGAGTAGTTCCTGAGTGCAAAGCCAGGAGTAAGCCCTGTGCATCGCCGGGTGCGAACCAAAAAAAAAAAAAGAAAAGAAAAGAAAAGAAAAGTGCAGGAGAGTACGGCCCAGAGCTGGGCCTGAGCATTTGAGGGCACATGCAGTCATTTACCTTGCTGGCCAGTGACAGGCAGGGGCGAGGGGCTCGCTTCGGGCTCTCTAGCTTCACAATACTGATAAATCCCGGCTCCAGATTGTCGTCATCACTGGCATTGCACAGGTACAGAGGGTGGGACTGCAGAGAGAGAGAGAAAGAAAGAGATTTGCATTAGGCCAGCTCCCAGGGAGCTACAGGAATAGGCTCTGAGTGCCAGGCCCTGCTAGGCTGGCTTGAGGCAGGCACCCAGTAGCCAGTCTTCTTAGGTGATCTCGGAGGGAGCCCATTTCTATTAGTTGTTACTTTGGGGGGGGCGGGGCTAGAATCAGGGATAGGTGAAGGTGGGAGCATAAGTGAGCAAGAAGCAACTGAAGAGGACCTGAATGAAGAGTCTACTGCAAAACAGCTCAAATATCCTCCAGCCCAAGTTTCCCAAATGGGCAATTGGAGGGTGCTGCTACCCCAGCCTCTCTCACTGCCTGATTCTTAGAAGCCTCAGGCCAAGAGACCAGCCATGCACTCCCACAGCACTGTACTCTGAACCCTGCCTTCCTTCCTTGCACCCCAAGAGCTCTTCTGGGGGATAAGGGCCCCCCAGGCAGCTGCCCTATAGCTCTCTCCCTGCTCCTGGTGCTTCTCTCTCCCTGGGCCCTGCTCCATACAGTCTCCCCAACCCCTCCTCCCAGCCCGTGCTATGCCCATCAGCTCAGAAAGACATTCTGGGGATGTGGCTGGGCTGAGTGGTACCTTTCCTAGCACAATTCCTGGCACTCACCCTGCCCCCAAGACTGACCCGGGGGACATGCATTCAGCTCACCTGCTCTGCTCTGAGGGCACAGCTGGTCCAGTCTGAGACCCTGGGCCTCTAGTGTGGCTCGTGCTAACAATGACTCATGGGGCAGCAGGCCAAGTCTGGGCTAATGGAGACCTGAGGATCCCCGTATCGGATGGGCAGGGCTGCCCTCCTAAACATGCTCTTCTCATTCAACGTGGCTCTCGGGCCAGCTGAAAGGAATTTTCCCAGAGTGCTGTGAGAATCTAGTGTGATTTATTTGCCCCTGGAGAGTCTCGTGGGCCAGGGACTCCCACATGGTGGAAACCCAATGCATCTTGGCAGCAAAGAGGATTTCCTACAAGGAGCTGGCCACACTTCCTTCTCCAGTGCTGCTGAGGTCTGAAGGGCTGCCAGAAAGAACCCTCAGAGGAACCAGAGAGGATCCGGAATATATAAAGATGATACTGTTCACTGAGTTATCGGTGATGGATTTAAAAGCAGTCATCTGGGGGGTGGGGAGCATTTCAGGCCATTTCCTCTCGCTGTACCCTCTATTTCCTTCCACAGCGGGTTTGTACTAGGTAGGCAGCACCTTGCATTGAATGTAATCTTTGTGAATAAAAAAAAAATCTTTGCTAAGCCTGCCAGGAGCCCTTGAGTTCAGAGCCAGGACTTACCCCCTAGACATTGCTGCATGTAGTCCAAAAATGAAAGAAAAAATAAAATAGAAAAGCTGTGATATTCAGTAAAATTATAGCCTTTGTCTCAACATGCTCCAATGTCCATCTGTCTGCCTGCCCACCTGTCCAACTACAGATCAAATTGTTTCATGATTCCACCAGCACTGAAGGTAAGGTCCCCATGGTGCAAAGCATTATACAAATGATGAGATGGAAACTTGCTCTGACCACAAGCACAGAACTGTCCAATGGCATCATGATGCAGGTTCATTCCAGGTTCATTCAGGGAGTTGAGGGAGGGCACAAGGAGGGACGCTGGATAACTGTACCCGGGAGGGCAGAGATGCTTGCCCAACAGAATTCATGGGTTCCATCTCAGGGGCTAATGACATATGCATTGCATTCCCCAGTGGACCAAGAAAAGAGGGATTTCATTTCGGTACCTATATTGAAAACCACAATGCATAAAAGGAGAGAGAGAGAGGGTGGGGGAGAGAGAGAGAGAGAGAGAGAGAGAGAGAGAGAGAGAGAGGTGTCTGCCAAAGAGGCAGGCTGGGGGGTGGGGTGATGGGAAGAATACTGGGGACACTGGTGGTGGGAAATGTACACTGGTAAAGGGATAGGTACTCAGTCATACATTGTATGACTGAAACTCAATCACGAACAACTTTGTAACTGTGTATCTCACTGTGATTCAGTACTTTTTTTAAAAAGAGGGGTTCCATTCCTCACCCAGGAAGCTGCCTGTGCTAGGCAGCAGGCATGTGATGGAGGGGGAAGGCAGGCAGAGGGGTGGGCCATGCACAGCAAGGCAGAAGGTGAGGCTGGAAAGACCAATGAGAACCAGACCCGGGAAGGCCTGGGCCTTTGGTGGGTAAAAGGAGCCAATCCAGTGACAAGTCAGAGATTCAGCTGCTGCAACAAACTCAGACAGCAGATGGTATAGGAAGGACACTGCTGACTCCTCCATCCAGCCCCAGGCCCCCAGCTTCCTCCTCAGGTCTGTTGGAGACCCAGTGAAGAGAGGGGAGAGTCACTTTGGAGAAGAGGATCATTAGAGAAGAACTTGCATCTCTTTAACCACCACTCTGCTCCTGGGCCTGCAGGGTGAGTCCCTGTGATCTGCTGTAGGAAGCCCCGAAGGAGGGCTTGGAGGGGAAACAACTTGGAATCAGACAACAACAAAGACTTCCAACACTTGGGGCTCTGGGAGAGCCAGGGAAGGAAATGAACCCTCAGTAATTGCCTCTGGCTGGCCAGGGCTTTTCATCTACCAAACTATGAGCTCCTTGGGATCTTTCCCACTTAACAGAAGAGAAAGAAGCTCTGAGGCCCAGAGAAATTAAGGTCAAACAAGATTAGAACTCATCTCTTTCTAACTCCATCCCTTGGAGTCAGAAAACTCTGAAGGAGCATAGTCTACCTCCATGGCCCAGGCTAATGATGACAATGATTAATTATGTTTATTGAGCAAATATTGAAGGCCAGTAATTATTCTGTGTACTTTTGTACATACTCTTTTTATACTCAGAGGAAACCTATGGCACTGTAGCACTGTCCTCCCATTGTTCATCGATTTGCTCGAGCAGGCACCAGTAAGGTCTCTATTGTGAGACTTGTTGTTACTGTTTTTGGTATATCAAATAGGCCATGGGGAACTTGGCAGCCTCTGCCATGCGGGCAGGATACTCTCAGTAGCTTTCTGGGGTCTCTGAGAGGGAAGGAGGAATAGAACCCAGGTTGACCACATGCAAGGCAAACACCCTACCCACTGTGCTATCGTTCCAGCCCAGAGAAAGCCTATAAGTTAGAAAATCTGTTTCCATTTTAAAGATGAGGAAAGCGAGGCCCTAAGAGATTAGGTGACATGCCCTGGATTAAACAACTGAGATTAGGAAAAAATGGAAATGGGATAAGGTTTAAAAAAGATCAGAACAGTTGCTGTCACGACAAAGCAAACCCACCTTCCTAATTATATATTCCTAAGGCAAAAGGAACTCAAGACAAATCCCTGTAAGATACGTTGAGACCTCCAGGATCCTTACCTAGGCCTTTTCTCTTTTCACTCCCCCTGGGTGAAGCCATTCCCACGGCTTCAGGGATCATGGTGGTCTTCAGTTACGGTCTGCAAACCTCTCTTGAGCTCCAGTACCATATAACCAAGAGTAAAGCTGGACATTTTGTCCAGAAGATCCATAAATGAGATACCTCAAATGCAGCACATTGAATATTGAGCTAATCTCTCTATTCCTTAAAACTGTTCCTCCAGTGCTCTCTATTTGAGGAATTAGAGGCACCGTCTACCTACTACCCAGGCCAGATCACATCCTTCTATCCATTTGTCTTCTTTACTCCCTAATGCCCCCTGTACCTCACCAAGCCCCTCCTCCACAGTAGGCAAGCAGTCAGCAAGCACTAACGGTTCTCTCTGAAAACTGCTTCTCTCATGTCCTCTTCCTGCAGCCCCACTATGGCCACCCGGTGTGGGCTCTCATGGCTGCTCCTCCACTTCACTGAAATAACCTCTTAAGTGGGGCCACCTCAGCCCTTTTAATACTTTCTCTATTCTTAAGCCAAAGTGGTCAAAAACGCTGATGCAAGCATGCCACTCTTCTTCCACTTTAAGCTCTTACAAGGCTCCCCAGAGCTCTTGGAATACAGTATGCACTGTTATTTATTTTTACTTAAGGGTCATACCCAGCAGTGCTTGAGGGATCAAGCAATACTAGGATCTAACTCAGGGTTCTACATGCAAAGCGTGCACTCCAATCCTTTGAGCTATCTCCCCAGCCCAAGTCTGCTTTCATTTTTGGGTCACGCCCAGAGATGCACAGGTACTCCTGGCTCTATGCTCAGAAATTACTCCTGGCGGTGCTTGGAGGGCCACATATGTGGTGCCGGGGATCAAACCCAGGTGCAAGGCAAGCACCCTACCTGCTGTACTATTGCTCTGGCCCCCAAGCCCACTTTTTAGAACTAGATTTGGGGACTTGTCTCATATTTTTTTGTTCCCCTCCCTTGTCCCTTGCCCCTCTGCAGCCCATACTCAGAAACAACACCTTTGGCACTTGCTGCTTTGCCAGGATTGATTAGAGGCCTCTCCTCTCCCTTAATATGCTGCATTTCCTATCACTTGTTTGCTGATTTCCATCTCCTTCAGACTGTGGTCACTCTCCCCTGCCCCTTCAATGCCTGTGATATAGTAGGTGTAGCACAGCTGCCTACTAGACACTTTTTTTGGAGGGGAGGGGAACAGAGAGTGCATATCTGGCAATGCTCAGGGGTTACTCCTGACTCTGCTCTCAGGAATTACTCCTGGCAGTGCTAGGGTACCATATGGGAAGCCTAAGATCTAAACTGGGTCAGCTGCATGCAAAACAAATGCCCCAAACACTGTACTGTTGTTCCAGCACCCATACTTCTTGATCAAATATTGAAGGTCATGGACCAGGAATATAGCTCAGCAGCAAAGCCTTTGCCTGCCACGTGTAAGCCCTAAGGTTTGATCCCTTGCACGACACACACACACACACACACACACACACACACACACACACACACCTAAAACTGTTGAAAGGTCTGCAACCAGAGAGCCAAGTACAGAGGGTTAACTCTAAAGACAGCACAATGCGTATCACGGTCCTGGCAATGGTGACCCGGAGAAACAGGAGATGGTGAGGAAA